ATTCGCTGGTTTGTTTTAATTCAGAGATCAAATAAATTTCTACTGAATCTTTGTTTTGAAAACAAGTTTATGATAGGTAAGATCATCTTGCGACTATTGTCTGCATCATAACCATCGTTTCGCGTTAGATACCAAATAAAAGAATGTTATAAATTCATCTGCTGCAGCTCCGCCTTACTCGAAGAGCTCAGTGCACATCACCTCTTAAGAGCACTTTCTAGATGTTGGAAAGAATGGCACCTCAATTGAAACTAGTTCTACTCTTGCCTTTTTCACCTACAGAGAGAGAAGTTCTACTACATTAACAATTAAATGAATTTTTTATTCCACAGGATGTGGCTTAGTGTACAGCTTCCCCAATCGACTATCTATAGATTCCGCCATTCGCGACTGTTCCTTGCCGTCATTTTTAATCAACTACTATACAGACAACACCTCATTGCCACCTACATTCTACTCAGCTAAAAAGAACAGCTCTCTTCTTTCACGGTAACTGCACGGTAATTCGCTTCTTCTTTTAGTGCGGTACTATCATGAAAGCCAATCATCGCAGTGTCTTCCTTTTTCCTTACGAATTCTTCACTCTTAACCAAAAGTAAAAATACAGGGTTATAGTAGCTCATCGGTGTATACATTAAGCGCTATAGGGAAAAATATAAAGGAAAGTACAAGTCAAATTATAAATTTTTTACGAATTCTAGCTCTACTTTTCGATTTAGAGTTCTACCATCTGTGTACCATATTAGTTTGTAAACACGAATACAAACTTCAATCAGCGTCCTTAGAGATTCCGGTTCTCTGCAATAAAGGGGATAAGTCGTGAGGAAGTAATTCAGCTTTTCCCGAAACAATCGACCGCCTTCCTCATTAAACAGTACGAAAGAGTCGAACACAACCAATGGTGAAGTAAAGGGAAACCCCTTAGTGCGCGTAGTGATCTAAAAGGGCATTGCAGCATAACCGTCCCAAGCGATTTCCTTGCCTAACATCGCGTTTTATTAACTACAGTTGAGGATCGGCTTAGTTAGGAAGACACAACGACAATCTGCTCCCGCATGTTTCGACTACGGACCTTCCCACAACGCACAGCGATTCTCTTGTGAAGAGCCCAACAAGGGAC